CACAACTCATGCGTTGCCTACATTCTAACAGATGCTTCATGATTAGTTACTTGATTGGATTCCCCTTCAATTTATCACAATATTTCCAAAAGGCTATTATTCTAATTTTTTGGGAGTGGTATCACTGCCTAGTCCCCCAAAACTTGTGGCTAATTTCTTAAATTTCATGCTAAGATGTCGTCGTTCTTTTATGTTTTTGCTAACTATTATTACTATTTATTCTTTATGATAATATACATGTAAATAAAAAATCCTTTTATTCCTTTTGTTGTGATTAATGATAGATAGGAAATATTTGTCATCATAAAAAAAGGAAGACTGTTGGAAAAACATCTCTAGGAATTTTGATGATTTCAAAACTATCTTTGGTATAATATCTAGGGAAAATGACACAAATAGTCCCTGAACTTTGACTCAATGTGCAATTTGGTCCCTGAACTTTTAATTTGTTCAATGTAGTCCCTAAACTTTAACCCAATGTTCAATGTGGTCCCTGAACTTTCAATTTGTACATGTTCAATATAGTCCCTGAACTTTATAAAAATGTTCAATATAGTCCTTGAACTTGAATCAATGGAAGGACTACATTGAACATTTTTATAAAGTTCAGGGACTATATTGAACATGTACCGAAAGTTCAGGGACCACATTGAACAAATTGAAAGTTCAGGGACCACATTGAACATTGGGTTAAAGTTCAGGGACTACATTGAACAAATTAAAAGTATAGGGACCAAATTGCACATTGAGTCAAAGTTCAGGGACTATTTGTGTCATTATCCCTAATATCTACTATAGCAAGTGCAGATGTTCATGATGATTATTAAGGATTACGTGATATGTATGATGCATTCATTGGAAGAAGATTGCAGGATGTCCATGTACAAGTTACTCATAAACAACATCAACTGACTATGGTAATCGACTAGTGATGATTTCGATTTCACTTACGAGAACATCATGTCACTGACGATGCTGGGATAATGTTCATCCGAGGATGTGAATCAAATATAACCGTTGGCTATGAGAACAGCACAACAGAAGGATCGGAAATCGTCAAAGAGACGAAAACAGTTTTGTCAGAACTATCGGCTTTATGACAACACCTATAGGACCCGTTTTGGAAATGTTCGCTAATCTCCGCAGAAAGGGACTGTTTTGATAGTCTAGCTATGGAACAACAACCGGCAAGGATTCCTAATGCCTACTTACTTCTCCCGACATTTCCACCAAGAAGAGTGAAGATGTCTATATAAGAGAAGCTCATTGAAGTTGGAAGGAGTTAGTCAGTTCTCTGAGTTGATAATGTCTAGAGAAAATTGAAAGTGTTCATCGTTGTATTCTGAGCAAATTGTGTTTCATCCTTTGAGATTTCTGGAGTAGCATTCTTGCTACCTTGTAATCAAGAGAAGATTAAGTGTACGCACTTGATAGCAGCATCTAGATCATGATAGTGTGATCTATCGGTTGATAGGATCAATGCTTGCTGGTTGTAACTTATCTTGGTGATTACTAGTGCAATCCAGCCCACGTTGTGGCTGCTAGTCTAGAGAATGAATGTAGGCTTTCTGAATAAGCTGAACCACTATATATTGTTGTGGGTTATCTTTACTTCCGCTCTTATATGGTATTTGCACATCAGCACTTACTGATATTCTAAAAATTAGCTTCACCTGATTTCCAAACATACCTCGGTGATTTTTCGTAAAATTTGCAAAAGAACCTATTCACCCCCTATCTAGATTACATTGTTAACCCTAACACTACTGTAACTACTCAAAGATTGCTAGTGGAATCCAGCCAGTAGGTTGTTAGTTTGGAGAATGGATGTATGCTTACACCAAGCTGAATCACTATAAAGCTCTGTGTGTATCGTTCTCTATCTCATTGCTTATATTCATTTACTGCCTAATAGAATCACACTGCACTGCTTGATATACTGGAACGTGCTTATATCAACACTCTATTTCACCCGGTTATGATTATATCAAACTTGATGCTTTTAATTTCGCAATATTTTGTCAAGTTCATTGAAATCACCTATTCACCCCTCCTCTAGGTGATACTGTTAGCCAACATCATATTCAACATAAAAGAATAAACTATTAGGTAAAGAGAGAGTATATATATACAAGGCATACATATTGAAGCAAAGTAAAACTATATTTAACACGTCCCATTGCGTTTGAACATTCTTACAAGCGCATGACTTGCCTCTATGCTATGAAATAGGTAGGGGTCCAGTTTTGTGTGAGCAAAGTTGTGAGCCCACCGCAAGCAATGAGTTTGAGAGAGAGCCCCAAGATTTGACATGTGCTCTCATGTCATAGGAGAATATCTAATCATAAAGCTTAAACCATTAAATGAAAGGAACCTACAAGTATACAAGACATATCATAACAATAATTTAAGCGATTTAGAACTATATTTAATAGTTTGAATGAATGAGGAACCAAATAAATATGCCAATGGAGGTAAAGGATCTCATTACATTATGGGCTACCTTCACATAATAAAGTTTCCCTGTAACTTTACAGAATCCCACAATTTTTATTCAATTACAAAAGTAAGTTAAATTACCCCGATTGCATCTTGGTGATAGGATCTAATCCAAATATTTGTAGTCAGTAGCTCATTGTATGAGAGATTAGTGAAAAGATTGACATTCGGAGTCCCACATCATTTGGATGAGGTTTTGTTGAGTAATTCATAAGTCAGCATCCACCATCAAACGGTCACCATTTTGTGTGGTTACTCAAACTACTTTTTTAGGGGCTTGGACCAAGTGGATTAGGCTGGGCATTTATAGATGGTATCATAAGTAGAAACCCCCCAAATAGATGTATAGTCCATAAAGAGATTAGATCCATACTCAATTCGATTAGGGCGAAAAGTGATCGATAGGGTGAGAGAACTCAAACAAGGTGTGCCTTTTACAAACTTCTAAAATGACGGAAATGGTTGTATTGGACCGCATCACACAATAAGAAAAAGTGATATTGTTGGGTGTTACACTGGCGAGTACTTCATTTCTTTAAGTGGGGGAGTTTGTGCCATCCCAAATCTCACAAAAGTTGGGAGGGGTCCCGTTGGAGATTCATAAATCAACACATACCCCATATAGTCACCATTTTGTGTGCTTATTCTAAGTAATCTTTTTATGAACTTGGTCCAAGTGGATCGTGCTGGGTCATTACAAGTAGAGACGAGCTAACGGTGTCTACAAATTCTTTGAATTCTACAATGAATTTTAATATATAATCATAATTTCTAGTGCACATAGACCGAGTAGATATCCAGTCTACTCTAATCATTTCAAAGTAATATGTTCTCGTCAATAAAAAAAACAATGGAGAGTTGTATGTGTGGACACAGGCACTTCTAATGCTCCACTTTTTTTATAAGCAATGCTTAATTGACTTTTTTGAGGATGGGTTTCTGTTCAATCATGTGATCCAGATGCGTTTGTTTTCAGTTTATTAATATGATTGAAAAAATATTTGATGACGGATGCCGTGAGATAGTGCGTACCCACTTTAGCATTTTTAATCCTTGTTAGTTGATCTTAGACCGAACTATTTATTAAAAATCGTGAAACAAGTGTGGGTTGGTGAGAGTATTTTGTTTATCTAGAGAGTGGTTAGCATTTTGATGTTCACAGCTCATCGGCAATTCAAGCCGACCAGTCTGGTGGCACAGCGGTGGTCATTCATCTTGTTCTCAATACGGGGAAGATTTATTATGCGAATTTAATGCATACACTCGATATCAATCGCAGCCATTGAATTCAATGGTTCTCACTTCTCATATGTAAGACAGATGGACCTCAATGTACGTTGAATGGTTGACATCATTTGGTTTTACACACCTGATCCAATGCCTCCTTCTGATAGAGTAAATGAAGTACCACGCTAAACGTGCATTTGAAAAGCCAAAAAATAGATGATGAATACATGTACGAATATCTTTACGCTGTAGCTATAAACAAGTAAACAAATACAATATATGGGCCTGACGCTTCACGCTCTTGATATCGTCACTCACATGTATTAAATGTGCACCAAATGATTTATTGACTTGATATTGCACACCAAATTAAAGAGATATGTTTTTCTCTATCCCTGTTAAAGCCAGACCTCTAATTAGAGGATTGCAAATATTGACATAAGCCACTTGTAAATTTAACTAAGTTTAAATGTATGCGATGTCAAATTCTGTTTCGATCATCTAACCAGGGATGGAGGAAATAACATGGCCCCTAACAAAACGATTTTTTTTTTTTTTGGTAAAGAAAAAATTTTTTTGGTAAAGCAAAACGATTTTTTTTGGACCCCAAGAAATTAATAAACGATGTTCTTTCATGTGCATGTTCAAAGTTTAAAGAAAAAAACGAAGAAGATTTACTTAAATCAATATACCAATTTTCACCTATAAAGATAAAATTTCAGAAGTTGTCCAGAACGGAGTCTAAAAATGAAAGTCAGTTTCTTTTCCACGATGAGGAGATTCATGCGAAAGGAATAATTCTATCTGCATGGGTCAAGTTTCGGGAGATATTAATTTCTTGCATCTTGATAGGTATAAAATGCAATGTTGTATTAATACTAATTTGGATGAGTAAATATCAAGGACACAAAAATTGGTCTACAAAATCGATTTACGGGATGAAATAGTAAATTCAAATAATAAATAAAGGGGGAGGGATACATTCGAGTATATCCAATAATAGTTTTGACATGACTTTGTAAAAATCGATCTTTATAAACCTTGGCACTATTAATTTAAACATACCACGTTAATCACATGAAAGCATTAACAATGCTAGGAGTATTAAAAGTTTTTTTTTTTTTGGCAAATTTGTTATAGAAAGACGCAATTAGACAACATTTAATGTATAAAATATAAGAGACACCCGGCACCATCTTCATGAAAGTTCTTGTTTTAGACACCCAATCCTTCACTCCAACTATCCACCTCCTCCTCCTCCTCCTCCTCCTCCTCTTCCACCACCACCACCACCACCATCACCACCATGCAAGCCTCTCAACCTCCTCCTCCTTTCTATGAAAAGTACTTGCAAGACGACGTCATGTCGCAAGAATGCAAAGATTTGCTCTCCTCTGTCCCTTCGGAAGAGGACTGGTTTCCCACCTCTCTGCACTTGTACCAGGGCTTCTGGTTCCCCTCTTGGCTCTTGAACGGCGTCCTCGCTTGCCAAAACCACTTCCAAGCTCACCCCTCCGACATACTCCTCGTCACCAGCCCAAAATGTGGCACCTCCTGGCTAAAGGCCATCCTCTTCAGTCTCTTGAACCGCGGCAAGTACTCTGACTCTGACTCCCAACAACGCCACCCTCTCCTAACCCAAAACCCCCACGACCTCGTGCCCTTCTTGGAGCTCAGGCTCTATCTCCAGCAAAAAAATCCCGATCTCACTGCTTTCGCGTCCCCAAGGCTCTTGGCCACCCACTTGCCTTATTCCTCGCTTCCACAGTCGGTGAGGGACTCCAAGTGCAAGCTGGTTTACCTGTGTAGGAACCCTAAGGACAATATCGTCTCAATGTGGCACTTCATCAACAAGGCGAGGCCCGAAGAGAAGGGCCAGATTCCGCTCCTGGAGTGCCTCGACAAGTTCTGCCGAGGCGTGAGCATGTACGGGCCTTACTGGGACCATGTGCTGGGTTACCACAAGGCAAGCTCGGAGATGCCCGAGAAGGTGTTGTTCGTGAAGTACGAGGAGATGAAAGAGGACCCGAGTGTTCATGTGAGGAGGTTGGCCGATTTCATGGGGTGTCCATTCAGCGAAGAAGAACTGAGGGACGGGACTGTGGAGGGAATATTGAGGATGTGTAGCTTCGACAATTTGAGCGCATTGGAGGTGAATAAGAGCGGGAAGTTGTCGACTGGACTAGAGAGGAAGTGGTTCTTTAGGAAAGGCGAGGTTGGAGATTGGGTGAATTACATGAGTGCCGAGATGGGAGAGAGAATTGACGGTGTCATGGAAGAGAAGTTGCATGGTTCTGGTTTGAAGTTTTAGTAAATATGACGCTCCTTCAACAATTTCCGGGTGTTATGTTTTAGTTTTGAAGATGTTTGATTTGATTATGGAGAAGAAAAAGGGAAAAAAATCAAGAAAATAAAAAATAAAAAGCGGAAACGATTCGACTGTTCACACTTTGGGAAGGTCAATGTCTAGTTGGCTAATGAAAGCGTGCTTTTCATGCTATAGGATGAAAGATTGGCATCGTCAATCGTGGCTTCGTCTCCGTAGTGAGATGCTTCAAGGTTGGGATTCCAGTCTTCATTTATGTTGTACCATTGGCATTTGCAGGTGTTATTTGGCCAACACGTAGTTAGCTCATAAAAAGCTGCCTTGCTACTTGCTGGGAGCTTGTGGATGTATCTTCTGTTATTCTATCCAATTCCATTTTTTTTTTCTTTTAGCTGTGTGAAGCTTCGTGGCATATGGTCTTAAATACAAAGCAGTTACTTGGTTAGGTTAAACTACAAATTATATTAGTTAGATGGAAAATAAATTATATGGTTAGCGTTTTTCGTTATCCAAATTGGACAATATTAACTTTAGGACTCGATTGCCTTACCAAAAAAAAAAACTTTAGGACTCGATTGAACTAATTTGATAAGTTTTAGGACTTGATTACACTTTTTGCAAGTTTTAAAACTCAATTGCACTTTCTTGGCAATTTTTATATATTCCAGTGAACATATCCCTTTTATTTTTTAAGAATTCATTTACTTTAAATTGCTCCTCTTGTCTTTGGCTCTTTTAAGTGTTTTGATAAACCACTGTGTAGTTTGGTTGACCCCCTTTTTATACTGTGTTAACGAGAATCCAAAATTAATTTCGTCATTTCTTTTCAATTACTTTACCACTTGCTTGCCAAGTGATGTCTTTCACTTCCACACCTCCTATAAAATTGTCCATGACACCTTTGACTTCACGCATCACATACCCATTATAATTTTTCTCCTCTTTTTGCTGATAGTCGGCACATCCATTTGGTTTTTATCTTTCCTCGGCAAAGAAGAAACCTCATACCTCGAAAAACAATCCTAAACTTATCACACAGATTCTCATTCAGTCCTAAATCTTTAAATGATTCAATTTAGAAGGAAATTCCAATCAATTCTTCCCATCAAAGACTTGATGATATTGCTGACATTACGGTCTATTCATTGCTGACTATTGCAACCCTCCCGAGCGGTAGTCGAGCGGGGATGAGCATTCCTCGTATTCGCGGTGCTCGCCCTCATTCGATGTGGGTTCCCAAAATACTTACCTCCGCGATGTTGGGAAATTCGTCTAATTCATCCATCTATTAAGTTCTATCATACTTTGGAGTTGCCACTAGCCTAGTTGGGATCAGCTAGGAGCCAAGCGAGACACGGGAGTATGTTTCACTTCCTACGTAACTAGAGATCTAAGTACGGGAACTTGATTACACTAATTTATTTAACTAGTGCCATTTCCGTTCCTAAACTTGATTTATTTGCCTACGAAGTGATTCACGTGATCTTGTCAAATTATGAAATCCTGTGGTGCTTTTCCACTATGTGTTCAATGCACGGTTTCATTGTAAGATTGAAACCTATCCTAAAATTCGAGACATCAAAGAGGAATAGTAAAAGACAAGTAAAGTGCAAGGGGAGTAAACTCGATTCGAGCCGTGATAATACATGACCTTATTATAAAACCCAGGATAGGAATTCCATGAGCTAAAATTGAAACCTCACATTACACAGGCACGATACAAAAACGACAAGATGAAAAGTGCGGTAAGTAAGCCGACACAAGTCTGGCAATGAATATACACTGCCTTATTATTGAGCCCCAAGATATCAGCCCGTGAGCTAGACCCTATTCTAAACATGCAATTATTTCAATTTAAGGAGTGCAAATTTCCTAACAAAATGATAACGATGAGACAGTAATCAAGAAAAGACAAAAGAAACAGGAATCAAGCTTAAACCCTAACAATGTTCAAAATTAAGGATGAATTTATTCATTGAAAACTTCATGATAAATGAAAATATTTTCCATAAAAATCATTTTGAAGAAAAATAGTTAGTTTTAACTTGTTTGGTGGTTTAGGGAAAGTGATTTCCTTCTTTCCATAAGGGAGGCCGTTTTCGCTAAACTTGTTGTTTTCAATCCATGAAAACGTTTTCAATAGACCGATTAGTTTTCCGTCGTCGAAACACGGGAAAGTCAGAAAATAATTTCTTAAAAATATTTTTTTTCAAACAAACGGACCCTAAGCATATATCCAACTTAACATCTTTTTTTCTCATTTATCATCATTTTTTTTTATTTTCTAATGTCACGAGGATCCCATTTTCTCTAAACTTCTTTTGCTTTCTCTGAACCAAGTGGTCCACTGGAAATCCCCACTTCTTTTGTCTTATCCGCCACCGATCTCTCTCCAAATCTCCATTCATTTCCCACGTTTTTATTTTGTTCACAGCTTGTTGCCTACTCAAACCAGATATGTTTAAGTCATTTGCTCTTCTTTCATAAGCAAGGGTGCGTTTGGTTCAGCATTTACAAGGGGCTTTAGGGAAATACAAAGCAAAGCAGTTCAGCCTAAAGAGTTTTGAGGAAATGTAAAGACTGTTTGGTAAACTATACTTTGAGAAGCAACTTTGAAAAAAATGCCGTTTGGTAAAAACACATTTGAAAAGTCCCTTTAAATGATTAATTTAACCTTTTTAATTTTTATTTCTGCAACTTTTTTAATTTAAATATTGACAACAACGTTAAAGATTTCGTGTAAATTTTTGCTAAAAATTTCAAATGGAAAAAATTCACATCAAAGTGGTCTCTTTCTCAATTAAAAAAAAAGAACACTTTCATCTCAATAAACGTGGTAACAAAGCTTGCGTGTTATCTTCGAGCGGAGATGCTGCACAGCAAAACCATTAAAGCAAGACCAAAAGATAGGATTAAAGGACATTCTAGCTACCAGCAAAAACGTAACAGAGGATGGTTTATCAATCAAACACATATCAATCGTCAATGTCGCTCACTCATTGTCCCATACAATGAGATTTGAGATCGCCTTTTCTTAGAGAGTGAAAGAAAAATGGCTACATAGGCAACTTTTTGTCTGGCAATTGGAAGTTTAACCCTGAATTCATTTAACAGTGAACACAGAAATTGCCAATTAAGATGTCTCTTTTGAAAAAAGTTGAAATGGCAGAGAACAGTATGTCATAGACATATTAGCATAAACAAACTAGCAAAAGCCATTGCTCTTATATTAGAAGTCATTACAAATACATCACCCGCGAAAACTCGATGCTTTTCTACCTACAATCTATATCCATTCTATAAGTAGCACAAATGTACATTTCCAACATCGACTTATATGCAAGACTCTGGTGAAGCTATCATCATATGGCAGCCTTGTTCGGTCAAGTTTCTTCTTGTCTATCTATATCTATCTACTGCAAACACGGCCTGAGCCCAAGAGAGCAGACTTTCTTAGCTGGTATTGCTGAAATCTTTGCCTCGCATATTCCTTGTAGTCAAACTTGATGTCGTTCACATAGCCCTGCAAGTGAACAGAGACTCAGAACTTTTATCATTTTGTAAAGAATCGATATGAAATTGATGTATTGTCTTCACACAAATCTATATGAACTTGTGTCATTAAACTGAGGACAAAGCAGAATGAGATCCTCATTGGATTGAGAAATACAAACACGGTCAGCATGCATTTGGTTCAATTCCAGCATGTTTTCAACAAAATTCAGTAAGATTACAGCGTATTTCAACAAAATTCAGCAAGATTCCAGCATTTGGTTCATATCCAAATCGAAAACAAATCTACTTTAAGCATAACAAGAACAAAAACCAGTAAACCCCGCTTCATAAATGTCCACCACGAATATCCATCCCCGTGCGATTGCTCAACTCATCTACATGCTCCACACACGGGTTCCAGAATCACGTCTTGAAGTCACACAACCAATACACCACAGCCCACAACATACAACATAGAACACAACCCAATCAAATATCTACTCAACTCAAGGCGAAATTAGATATCAGAGCCTAGAGGGATCGTCTAAATCCATCAAACAACAACAACGGCATCAATAACACCCCCAAATCTGAGTTGAAACCCTCAAAACCCCGACCAAGACACAGGACACACCCAACCACCACAAAACGAACCAGATCTGGCCACCGCAAGACACACACAACGGATCGTATTTCAGCGACTCGAATCAGACCGGAAAAAGATGCAATCGGCCAAGAATGCGCAAATCGAAACCTCATCTAAAGAGCAAATCGAGAAGAAAATCTCCGGCGAAAGCTCATTGGCATGCTAGATACACCAGTCGCGAGCTAGAGAAAGGGAGAGGAGAGGGTACCTAGTTGTTAAGAGAGAGGTATGCTGCCGAAAGCGAGAAGCAGTCGCGAGGGAGAGAGAGCGGACGAGCGGGGTGGTCGCGAGGGAGTGAAGAGAGAGTAGTCGAGAGGGAATGAGGAATGAGGAATGAGCTTCTGGGAGAAGGGTCTTGTTTTTAAAAAGGGGCAAATTTGGGTTTCTAAGAAGCTTTTGAGGGCAAAATGGGAGATTGATCAAATTTCATTAATCCATGGCTTCAGCATTCCGGAAATGCTGAAAGCTCAAGGCTGGTCCCCACTAGCCTTGAGCTTTTAGCCTTCCTAAGGCTGACTTTCACTTGAAAGCCCCTTGGGGGATGGTTGCCAAATACCCCAAAATTTCTCCAAGGGGCTTTGAGGCCTCAAGGAGCTTTCAAAATGTTGAACCAAACGCATCTTTAAGTGTGCTATCGGCTTGAAATGCATCACTCCATCACTCACAACGTGCATACTCACGCAAATACCAGTGTGAACAGTAGGTGATCATGGCCACTCCCTAGAAATCTGTTGTTTAAATCCACGATTCACAATATACTTTAGTACGAAATACCAAATGTCCGTGATCTAGTATCGAGCTAACTCAACATAGAAATCTTAGATCATGTCTTTATGAGTAAAACAATTATTATCTGCTGATAATGGTAAAGAAAATACCTACTTAAAGCAATAGGAACAAAGTTACACCTGAAAGTTTCTTCCCAGACGTATTTTTTCAGAGCCAAAACTGAGCCGCGAGCTTCATCCATTCTGGTTATGAACTTCTTGCACCCATGTCCACCTGTTTGAAAACCAATGACAAAGATGGAATGAATCAAAACCAGTTCCAAAATTTAATCAGAAAGGCACAACCTGGTTCAGTCGTCTGATTTCGTCATAGCTATGTCACCAATGGAGGGAGTGTTGTGCTAGCAGGGGCTTCGATGGTGATGGCCAGATGAAGAACAACGGTGGGAGAACTCTACGATGAAGAAACTTGCGTCTACCTCTCTTCCTCTGCTCTTGTTGATATCTGAAACGATGAAATAGTCAAAAGAGAGAGTACTCCCTCTGCTAACGTCCTCTGTAGATGCGGGTGCGAGCGTCAATCTACCAAAGATGGAGAATTGCAATTTGCTTTTCTCTTGTACATTTGGTCGAACAGTTGCTCTGCTCCTAAGACGAATTTACTGAGATGAAGATAGAGGATGATGGTATCGAGTTTAAGACTCACCTTCGCAACCGCAATCTCTGGTGCCGACTCCAATTAATTGCATTTCTTGTTGGGATATGGCTTATACTCTCCATCGATAGGAAGGCACGAGGTCATTGCAACGCCAGATGACTTTTATAGTTTGGGTTTATATTTTATTGATAGTTTGGGTTTGAGCCCATGAATAGCTACTGTGCATCTGTATAATCTCTTTCTCTTGTAATTAAGAGTTGTAACAGAGAGATGTAATATGCTAATTATAGTAGAATCTTCTGCTGGATATAGCCCTTGTTTAAGGGTGAAATAGGATAAAATATTGTATCTCGATTTCTCTTTCTCGCCTTTACTGTCTATTTTGTTGTGTTTGTGTGCCTAATTCTAACATTGCTATGGTCAATTTATTTAGGGCAAAAGTACACCAGAAGTGCCACAACTTGTGTACGGAGATCACTTTGGTGCCATAACTTTTTTTTGGATCACTTTTTTTTTGGTAAGGTAAGTATTATATTAACTTTTCAACACGCAATTTACAAGAGGAGAAGTCGTACACAAAAACCTCGTACCTGAGGCAACACAAAAGTGTCACGACGGGTGCAAAGGTGTAACGGCTAAACGAGACACAAATACACCAAGTGCGAAGCACTAACTATAGCCAAAACAACGGCAAAAAAAGATTAGACAACTATAAGGCAATAGCCATTAAAGTTACTGGAAGATAGAGACCGGAATGCCCCACTTGACTTGAAGTCTTCTGTTACGTGGAGTGTCAACAACAGGCTGGACGGAAACAGCTACATCTCTTACAGTCTTGGCCAGATGGGCACGCATTGCAGGCAAGTAGGGGTAACGATCCCTAAATAGGATGTTATTTCGTTCAGTCCAAATGCAGTGGCACATTGCCCCAAAGGAGGCACGAGCAATACGTTGATGGAAGGTCAGTCCACTGAGGACTCGGGTTGCCCATCTAATAATATCCATCCACGGGCCAGCACTCCATGATAAATTACAATTACCTGCCCAGAAGCGCGCAAGAGAGCCCGTAACAGCACACCCAAAGAATAGGTGGTCAATTGAGTCCGGCCTTGTACGACAGAAAGCACATGAGCCTTCAGCGATCTATGGTAAGACAACAACATCACCTGAGTTGGGAGCCTGTTAAGGCAAGAAAGCCAAAGCAAGAAGCTGTGTCTCGAAGCAATACCATTGTCCCAAACAAACGAGTTCCAAGAAACATTGTGCCCCCTATACCGTAAAAGATCCCAGGCCGAAGAGAAAGAGAAATTACCGGAGGGGTGACCTTGCCACATTAGCCGATCCCTTCGATCCGAGTCCATAGCAGGCCAGCTTTCCGCCCAAGAGTTGAAGGTTTCCGTTACAAAGGACACTTGCCAGGTGGATGCATTAAAATCTCGCATTGTCGCTTTTCTGGGGATGCCCGAAGAGTATATTTCCATGTTTGTAAAAAAATTGCAGAAGGGGCCTTTAGGATGCCAGTAGTCAAACCAAAAAGATGTGGAGGCGCCATTTCCAACTTGCCATTTAAATTGAAGTTGGAATTCCAGATGTAAATTTTTCGGATCACTTTGGTGCCAACTTTTTTGAAAAACGATTATTTTAGTGCAAATGCTGACGTGGCTCGCCGGAAATCCAATGTGGCGCTGACACGGCTCGCCGGAGAGGTCCACGGCTCGCCGGAGAGGTCCACGGCTCGCCGGAGAGGTCCAGTCAGCATTAAAAACCAAAAACGACGCCGTTTAGCCCGCTGACGTGTACTTTTTTTAAAAAAATTAAATTAAAATAAATAAATAAATAAATAATTTTTTTAAAAAAAAGGCTGCAGCAGCGGCGAGGGAGCCCTCGCCATTGCTGCCGCCAACCCACCACCGTCGGGAAGGACCGGCGGTGGTGGGCGCAATGGTCGGCGAGGGCCGGATCGCGAGGCGAGACCTCGCCGTCGCGACCCGGCGACGGCGAGGTCTTGCCTCACCGGATCCGGGTGAGGCCGACCTCGCCGTCGCCGGGTCGCGACGACGAGGTCTTGCCTCCCAGCCGAGGCGAGGCCGACCTCGCCGTCGCGACCCAGGCGACGGCAAGGTCGGCCTCGCCTTCGCTGGGCGAGGCGAGGCCGACCTCGCCGTAGCGACCCAAGCGACGGCGAGGTCTCGCCTCACCCAGCAAAGGCGAGGCCAGACCTCGCCGTCGCTTGGGTCGCGACGGCGAGGTCTCGCCTCACCGGATCTGGCCTTCGCTGGGCGAGGAGAGGGTCGCCGGGCCCCGGCCAGGGGCCGGCGACCCTCGCCGACCACTGCGCCACCACCACTGGGCCTTCCCGGCGGTGGTGGGTTGGCGGCAGCAGCGGCGAGGGCTCCCTCGCCGCTGCTGCAACATTTTTTTTTAATTATTATTATTTTTCTAAAAATTTAAAAATTCGAAAAAAAGCTACATAATTTCCACATATATAAGTCAGACCATTTTTTTTAATATAAATGCCAGGTCAGCTTTTTGGCCGGAGTCACTAAAGTGATCTATTTTCATCCGACTTGGCACCAAAATGATCCGAAAAAAAGTTATGGTACCAAAGTGATCGCCGTACACAAGTTATGGCACTTATAGTGTACTTTTTCCATTTATTTAGTTACAAATAGAAAGATGCACAACAATTGCACTCAAGATCGTTTTTGTTAGAGTAATTATATATTAAACCACGCATTTATCTAAGAGCTTAAGCTATTAGAATGGTTGGCAGTGGTCCTATCATATCTTATATAGTATTAGAGCATAAGGTCTTGAGTTCAAATATTTCTAAGCCCTTAAACCACTCTTTCATCTAAGAGCTTAAGCTTTTAGAACAACAATTGACAGTGGTTCCATCAAATCTCACAGTTTTGCTTCGTGCTTTGAAATTTCCGACTTCAATAGAGAAACGCCAAGAGATGATAATGAGAGACAATCGAATCTCGAGCTCCGACGCGGAGAAGAAGATGCGGCAGCGACCGGCGACGGAACTTTGTTCCACTAGAGAGGGGGCGAAAGATTGCAATTAGTAAATGGACGGAACTCTTGTAGATGTGTCCACAAGTTGGAGGTACCTGAGTAGAAGGTGAACAAGCCTAGAATAGGGAGTTCGGTAAAGCTATGAGCTACCATGGATAGGTGAATAGTGAGGTAGAGTCACGATTGCCAATATGCTTAGAAAAATCATAAGATAGAATTTGTGTTTGCTTGACATCAACATAAGCCATTTATAATGTGGATATCATCAGACTGCATGGATATCAGCAGAAGCCAGTTATAACGTTGATATTATCAGCTTACTGCATGGATATCAGCAACGTACCTTGAGGATATCAGCAGAGTACATAAGACACTAAATTAGCAGCATACAACAGAAGCTGAAATCAACAGAATACTATGATAGATGAATATAAGCAGAAATTTGATATCATTAGTTGACTGGGAAGCTAGATATAACCAGTATACTATGTGGTTATGAGTAGAACACTTACACTAATTGCAACGGAGTTCTTGTCATGATCTTCAATATTATTATTTTGAGATATTTTATCTCATCCCTTGATAGCTAGTGATCCGGTATGGTTCTAATTATGGAAGGATATCATTGATTATCAATTTCAAATTATATCTATGCGAAAGGTTCAGATATGTGTAACATCTTTGTGGATTGGCAATCATCACGAAGACAGAGGACATTCCATAAACAAGCTACTCTATTTCTAGAAGCCAAAAATTGATAATATGGGCGACCAAATCTACGAGAATTCTGATTGCTTATCTTCAACCGCTAATTGATTTTCTCAACAATTATCCAATAGCAAGTTTGAAAATTGATCCTCTTGAAGATTGTCCAACGAGAAGATTGGATGCTGATGAGTATAAAAGAAGACCAAGGCA